CAGCTGCTGTGCGGACAGCCGTGGCAGCTCCCGCTACGCAGGGACATACTATCTCAGGCGGGGGGGGTGATTTTTCACCCACACCCAGAGCGCCTGGCGCTATGGGCCTGGCCCGTGAGTGGTATAACTGAGTACAGTGGGTCTCCCTCAGAAGGTGATAAACACTATTCAGAGTGCAAGGGCTTCCTCCACCAGGTCTCTCTATGACTGCAAGTGGAGGGTGTTTGAGGAATGGTGCCTTACAAAAAAGAGGACACCTCTTTTCAATGTCCTGTTGGGGTGATTTTATCATTTCTACGAGGACCTAATTGATAAACACAGAGCTTTTTTCACGATCAAAGTATACCTGGCTGCTATTGCTGCATGCCATGTGGGCTTTGGGGGTAAGACGGCTAGCCAACATCCTTTGGTCTGCCGTTTTATGAAGGGAGCTCGCAGGCTCCTCCCTGTTTCCAGGTCACTGGTGCCCTTATGGGACTTGACAGTGGTTTTAGATGGGCTCACTCGAACCCCATTTGAACCCCTGGAAGGAGCTGACATGAAGCACCTGTCGCTGAAGACAGTGCTGTTACTGGCCCTGGCATCCGCCAAGCGAGTCAGTGATATTCATGCGCTCTCTGTACATCCTTCGTGCACTCAGTTTGCCCCGGGGCAAACGAGAGTGTTGCTGAAGCCCAACCCTGCCTTTATACCTAAGGTGGTTGGTTCATGTACCCCAATTGACATTGAGGCATTTCCTCCGCCGCTGTATTCCTCCGGGGAACAGCGGCCGAATTTGCTGTGTCCAGTTTGTGCTTTACGCACTTATATGGACAGGTCAAAAGAGTTTTGTCGTAATGACCAACTCTTCATATCCTGGGCTAACCCTCAGAAGGGCAAGCCCGTTACCAAGCAAGGCTCTCCCACTGGATTGTGGAAGCGATTGCTTTGGTCTATACGAGTCAGGGTTTGCCGGCACCTACGGGTCTGCGTGCTTATTCGACTCGTGGTCTGGCTACTTCCTGGGCTTTGTTCAAGGGGGTTTCCATCCAAGACATTTGTGCAGCAGCGAGCTGGTCCTCGCCGCTCACTTTTGTCCACTTTTACAGGCTAGACGTCTCGAGCAGTGCTGGGCCCCGTGTTGAGTCAGAGCTCTACCTCTTAAGTTCTGGTTGGTTTGGTGATTTTCGAGATAAGCTTGTCTGGCAATACGGGAGCTTCAATATCCCATAGTGAGACATCGAACGAAGTGTTATGAATGAGAACTATAGGTTATTTACGTAACCCCAGTTCTCAAGAGTAACATGTAGTGAGATGTCTCACCAGACGGACCTCCTTGCTAAGGTGAAGCGAGAAGAGGTGCTTATTTTGAATGACGCTGCGACGTGGCGCAAGCTACTTATAGGGTGGGTGGATTCCCTGATGCTGACGTCAAGATCACCAGCCAATCAGGATTGGCGTAATGAGATTGATGCTTCTGTTTGCTCCGCGATGAGGCGCATCCCATAGTGAGACATCTCACTACATGTTACTCTGAGAACTGGGGTTACGTAAGTAACCTATAGTTTTCGGGCGATTTATCAACAGATACAATAGTAAAAAATCAAATATTCACAACTTTTAAGCACTAGGTGCTTTCACATTATCAGTCCTATTTTTTGTTTAAACTGACATACCTGAACTGCATTCAGATTTACTCGTGATGAGATCACCCTGGATGTATGATGATGCCTGGTGTGAACAGGCCTTCATCTCTGTAGCCAGGTCAATTCACACCTTGTCTGGTGGCAGCCGGCGGCCTTTTAGCTGCCTTGCTCGATAGTGAGGTAATGAGTGACTTTAACTGATGTTAAAAGTGCCGACGGTCCAGGCTTGCAGGATTTGCATGTAGATGACTCTTCTTAATGCAAATAAATGGAGGTAACTCTGTTTGCAGTTACATAGTCCAAGATCTGATCGCCATGTGAGAAGCATTTTAGCAGTTTTTATTTGAATTTTGCGCGAGTTTCCCGTTTTACCAATATTTATTGGTAATAATAATAATACATTTAATTTATATAGCGCTTCTCATCTGCCAAAACAAATCTTGAAGCGCTTCACAACAAAGGACACTAGTAAAATTTGAGAGATTAAAAAACCATAAAGTAGTACAAACTCTTTCTTCATCTCTAGCACAAATCATGGCTTAACTGTGCAGTAATGGAGAGTAATTGAGGAGTGTATCATGGGATTACTCAACAGTTATTATCAGCTGAAATGTGTGTGTTGGTCTTTGCATGCAAACAGCCCGGACATTGTTGAAATGTTGTGTTTTATAGCGTTTGAACTGGAAGGCTATCCCATGATTCCCCTTGGTGTTTACATGGTTTCTCCACTGTAGTAATCATGTGTAATGTGTGTGTCAGTCAGGAATGGAGACTCTAAATCACAATATGTTATGTTGTGGAAAGGGCAAATGGGAAGCCAAGTGAATACAGGTACGCTGAATCGGGACCTCTGTCAAAGTATTTATATCATTTCAGCCAAAGGTTTGTTGTTCTGAAAGTGTGGACATGAAAAGCTCTAAATCTGGATGTTTTTTTTGACAGTAGGCTTGTGTGAGCAAACTAAACCTGAGCTAGCTGCTATCTGGTTTGTCCTCACTGGTTCTGGTAAAACCTTTTTTTAGGATGGGTTTATAAGGATGGACACATACAATCATTCTATAATGACCTATAGCTATTGGATAAGCTGGTGTTGGTCGGTGTGTGAGTGGTGAAGAACAAGGACTTGTTCCGGCCGGGTGCTCAAACCTTTATTGATAATTCTCCTCTCTGTTTCGAATTGCCTATTTTTGCTGTTGTACGTTATCACAAAGAGTTTAATAGCAAAATTGCTTCAGAATTTAGATTTTAAGACCAACTTTACTGGATTTATTCAAATAATCTCTTCACTGGATAATGTGTATGTGTGTAGTGTGCGTGGTTGTCTCCAGTGGACTTCGGTGTGTTCAGTGTGGTGCAAAGGTTTTCTCTCAGGTGGAACAGCAGTGTTGCATCATGTGTCAACAAACCACATGCATTAAGTTGTGTGTTAAAGGAGATGTCAACTGATACCCACGTTAAAGTCTGTTAACAGGAGTTCTACCGCATAAAACACAACCTCATGCAAAGTTAGCAACCGGTAGAGCTAACATGGCTAACCTGTAGAGAACTGGTATTGCTAGCTATCTTTAACAATGCAGTGGAACACGTGAAACCCGGGTGTGATGACAGTCACAATGTTGTGGATATCTTCGTGGGTTTCTGTCTTCCTGAAACTAACTGAACAGTCCTTTCTTTGTCTGAGATGCAACATTTTCTTCTTTACGAGTGTTTTCATCATAGTATTTTCTGCTCTATTCTCTAAATATTCTCCCTAGAGGTTTGCCTAAAGGCATTTGGTCGCTTAATGTTTGTGAATCATTATTATCTGTTATGCAAATGTATTATTTAAGCCCAGACTATTTTAAACTCTTCTTTGGTCTTTCACATAGTGAAGATGAAAGCAACGTGTGTGTCTGTTTGTTGCATATCGGTGTGTTTTTAAAGCTCCTGTAGTGTCTGAAAGAGTGTGTGATTGTGTGTGTGTGTGTCCAAGTCTAAGCTGTCATGGTTGCTTTTGCTCTTTCTCTCTGCTTGTGGTCTGCTGTACAGGATGAGAGAAAGAGGGGGAGGTGTGGGGGAAACAGGGTCACATGTTTAGGAAGATGGCTATAAAAAGACTAATTAAAAATGTGCAGATAGATGTGTTGGAGGTGAGGGGGAGGGAGAGAACTGGTGTGATGTAACCCCGGAGTGTATGTTGTAAGCGATAATAAGAAGCAGGGGAGGGATGAGCGGCGGTGAAGGGTGGGGGAGTGTTGGAGGGAATTGTTTTTCTGGGAAATGAGAGTTTGGAGAACGACAGGATAATAGATCAACACTTTGAGCATCCATTTGAGTCTCAGAACCCAGAAATAATCCAGGAGCATTTTAGTCTCTAAACTAGATTTCTTCTTGTAAGGCCAGTTTTAAGAGCTGCCAACATTAAGTCTAGCGCTGACACCAACAATTGTTTTTAGTTTTTAATTAATCTGCCGATTTACCGGCTTTTTTTTTTCTTCAAGAGGATCTGTCCCAAACATGGATTTGTTATTAAAAAAACTGCAGGACCTACATAACTTGGTGAATCTTTTACATATTTTGTCTTTGGATGAAATTCGAATAATTATATTCTTGCGCTTACTTCGATTTTTATATTGCACAACTCAATCAAATTTAAATTCATTGTGCTGCCCTAATTATTGAGTTTAGAAAATGGTTATAAATGTCCATCAGTGTTCATCTTGGGATGTTGTCTTCACGTGTCTTGTTTGGTCCTCATCATAAATATATTCAGTTATACTTTAATGAAGTCATAAAAACACCAGGAAAATATTCACGTTTAAAAGGATTTCATTTGTTTGACTTTTTCCCTTTAAAAATAACTCAAACCAAAATCAAAACACTTGTCTTGTCCATACAAGCACTAGCTAAATAACTCAAGCCAACTGATACCCGGAGCTGTCTTTGTTTACTGGCTCACACAGCGTCCTCTTGTCTTCACTGTGTCTCTTCTTCTGCGCCGATGAAGACAAAGAGCTGCACCAGATGAACAGTTGTGTGCTTTCAGTGTTTCCAGTGTTTTCATAGCACCCCGCTGAGCTTGATGCAAGTCAATGTAAAAGATTGCAGCTGTTTTTGCCCGTTATTCCCCTCACCCCTTTCTCTCCCCCCTTTCTCTCTTTCAAAGAATTTTCATTTGAATGAAAACCCTGCCTCAGTGTTTTGTTCTGCTCCGAGGGGGGGGAGGGGTCTCATTGGTCAGAATCCCTTTCGAGGTTAACCAATGCGAGCTTGCCTCCTGCCTCTCACCCCGCCCCCCTGTGCCCCGCTGAGGCTCCAGGCCTGACGTGTGATTGGCCAGCTGGGAGGAGCCAGACTCTGTATTAAAGCCTGTCCCGTCTGCTCCTCTTCAGTGTTGTAGAGAGTCCCCGTCTGTCAGCTGGAGAAGTGTGTGAGTGTGTGTGTGTGTGTGTGTGTGTGTGGATGTGTATCAAAGTGAGTGGATGCTTTTGTTACAAAGAGGCGGACAGAAACCGGAGAGCTCAACTGTTCTCTGACTGGACTTGCATCTGTTTTTAACCCTCTGCAGGACCGTGGGGGTCTCCAGCTGAGTTGCCGGGCGGCTTTTTGTTTCTTCTCGCAGCTGGACGGCTGACAGTTTGGACAGCGGACGTGAAGAAAGGGATCGTTGCCGGCTGATATACCGGACCTGGTTTTGGATAAAGAGCTCCTGTTGGCTGCACTGTGGCTGACCGCTGACCCCGATCCGCAGCCAGAGCCCCTTCTGGGTCAGTACTGAGCTAATAGAGCTGGTCTGGCCGGGCCTGATGTGGAATTTGACCCCGACTCAGGATAAAAGAGCAAGAGGGGTGACGGAGAAGAAAGGAGGAAGAGAAGTGAGAGCAGCAGCACAGCGACTGGTAAGGAAGTTAAAGGGGGCTCTGGGTGCGAGGGAGGGAGGAGGGGGGAGGCGAGTGGGAAGAAAAGAGAGGGTACAAAAGAGCTTTTTCTTAGGCTTAGAAAGGACATGTGGGATCTCTAAAAGGATGTTCGTTCACCATTAAAGCCTCACACACACTTGTAAACCCAAAACATTGTGGTGCTTTAAATCACGGTTTGTTGAAACAATAAATACAGAGGCGTTTGGCTTCTCTTTTATTTTCTCTAAATGCTTAGTTTGTATGTAATTTAATCCCAAAGCCTTTCCACTGATACCAAATATTCCTCTCTCTCTGCAGCTCCTCCAGTATGCCGGTGGAGACCCTGCGGCCCTCAGACGGCCGTCTGGCCGGGGCCCCCTTCACCTCTGCCATGCCCTTCAGGATACTTAACAAGGGTCCGGACTACTTTCGCCGCCAGGCTGAGCCTGGGGCCCGTAAACTGAGCGCTGTCGAGCGCCTGGAGGCCGACAAGGCCAAATACGTGAAGAGCCAGCAGGTGGCCCTCACCCGCCAGGCCCCCATCAAACCACCAATCATCCGCAAGCCGCTCATCCCTACAGGGATGATGCTCCAGTACCAGATCAGCACTCCTCCGGCGCGGAAAGTCCCCCGCTGCCCCGCGGATGTGGAGAATGGTGGAGGTAGAGAGGGACCGGGCTGGAAAAGAGGACCTGCTCTGAACTTGGATATTCTGAATAATCTTATCAATGATGTATGTGATGGACCGATGCCCTGTTCCCAGTCCTCCTCCTCCACCTCCCCCTCCTCCTCCTCCCCTTCATCAGGAGCTAAGAGCATCAGCAGCAGCCTGTCAGCAGAACAAGAGCGGAGCAACCGACCTCTCAACAACCTCAAGCCGGTGAATCACTGCACCGTCATTTCCTCCTCCACTTCCTCCTGCACTTCCTCTCCACTCAACAACAACCTCCGGCCCCCTGCAGTAGAACTCACCCGCCGGCCGCCCCCTGTCCCGGCACGAGTCCCCCGCATTGGGGTCCCAGCTCCGTACAGCTCCCCGAACTTGGTGACGGTGCGCAGGGTGGACGTCCGGCCCCAGGTGGAGATCAAGAAGCCTCAGAGGGCGCTGCTGCTGCTCAGACCCAGACAGACTGCACAGGGTCAGGTGGCACACCCCCAGGTCCCTCCCCCACCACCTCCCTCTCAGAACCCCCTGCTCACCACCACCCCCTCCAAAGCACTCCCCTCCCCTCCAGTCTACCTGCCTCCCAGTCCCATGCTGGCGCGAGCAGGCATGATCCCCCCCGCCTCTCCCGCTTTCACCCGGATATCAAACGCCAGCTCCAGAGGCTCCGCCCGTAAGCACCCGTCCCTGCACCGCTCCAAGTCGGACCTGAGCGACCGGTACTCCCGCGCCACGGCCGACCTGGAGCGCTTCTTTAACTACTGCGGGCTGGAACCGGTGGAGGTGGAGGGCATGGGGGGGGTGGAGCGCTTCACCAGAGCTAATTCAGACATTGTGTCCGTCTCCAAGCTCCGCAGCGTCAGCACGCCCAGCTCGGAGTGCGGGGAGGAGATGCTGCGGACCAGGGAGGAAGCGGACGAGGAGGACAGCACTGCCAAAGCCAACGAGAGGGCCCCCTACGGCATCTCCGTCATCGAGAGGAACGCCAGAGTCATAAAGTGGCTGTACGGCATCCGTCAGGCGCGGGACACAAACAACGCCGTCTCTAACGTATAGACTACGAAAGACTTGGATGGAGTTGAAATAATAACTTTTTGTATGTACACATACGTCTGAAGAAGGGAAAGCCCATCTTCTGCTGCCTTACATCACATTTAGGACCATCCAGTAGTGTTTTGTTCCGTTTCCTGTGAAGGCTCACACTTGTTTTGGACACACATCAGTGTTGGGGTGCAGGTCAGGACTGCTTCCCTGCAGCACGACACAGACAATACTTTGACTTCTACTATCGGTATACGAAAGCAATAATAGACTGGTGTAAATGATGATGATGATGGTGAGGATGAAGGCAGAGGATGTTTGTGGTTCCTAATGTAAAGGTACTGTGTGTGTCACGTTGATACTGTGAAAGTTTACATAAAAAGCTTCCATAAAACACATTTGTATTTTCAAAACAATCTTTTTGGCTGTAAGACTGTTATTATACAATTTTCTGTCGGCATGCGAGTGAAACTGTGTACACATTTATTTTACGGTCATGTCAACAAAGCACACAGATAATCACTGAACAGCACAGCGTACATTCAGGTGAATTAGAGTTGATGTGGGAGCAGCTGCAGGTGGTGCTGTCTGCGTCTCACTGTAACGATGATTCTGGTGCCATGGCGAAAGAAATCTGTTTACAATGTTCTGTATGTCTCTGCACGCATGAGAGTCACATGATGAGCGGTGATCTCATAAGTGGATGGTTGAAGCAAGTGAAGCAGGAGAAAGTTATTTTGCCTCCAGTAAGAATGGAGAGGAAATGAAAGGACGGGTAAAAGGAAGAGGATACTTTTGCATGGAAAAAGTGATTTGAAAGTGGCTCAGGAAGATGGCATACTAAAAAGGACCAATATTTATGTGGATAATTTAATGTATTTTTTTACATCGGACAACTTTGTGTACAGAATCTTTGCTCTTAGTGCAATCTGCTCATATCGACTACAATTACAGTCTTTCACATTTAAACATAAATCCAGACACCAGTAAGTGTGAGTGTTGTAAACCAGCAAAGTGAGACTGTTGTCTTTATTTGACTTCCTGTTTGTCAGGGTGGGAGCAAAGAGAGGACAAAATGTCTGTGTGTGTCGTCGTCGTAGTCGTCGTCGTCGTCCCCCCCCCCACCCCCCCCCCCCACCCGTTGGCGTTCTCCTCCCCCTCATCTACCTTTAACTTCAGGATATTGTGTGGAGCAGCAGCAGGTTTTCCTCTCGGTATGAGGAGCAGTAGGTGAGAGGGCTGGAGAACAGACGGAGAACAAAGCGTGCTGTTGAATCCGGCACTGGATGCCCAAAGAGTCTTCAATGAGAGATCCAAAATATATTCTCAACAATTAATAAAAAATGTTTTCAAGTACGTTCGTGTTTCCTGGTCTTTTAAGTTGTCATTATGCTGGCGTCCTCCTGCTTCCACCATATGGCCGCAACTCCTCTGATTTCTTCTGTGTTTTGGGACTTTAAAAAGTGCTGCTGCCAACTCCTAGGTTTCTCATCTTAAAATCTGGTGGGGGTCCAGTTGAGCAGAGGCAGGTGTTTGTCCCCTCATTTCATTTCCTCATCAATAATTGACATGCAGAACTTCACGATATTCCCTGTCTTCAGTTTACTTTGATTGTGTCATTATGAGAGTGCTTTATTATTTAGGTGGATGAACGTTGATGCATGTTGACACAAATGAAAACTCACTCTGCGTTAATACTTTGAATTCAGTCTCTCTCAAAGAGTTGCATCATAACATTTTGCCAGATGCCTGTATGATGCACCACACCCTCTGAGACCCTCGTTAAGAGAGACTGCTCACTACAGTCACTGTTGGTGGGGGAAATGACTGGGTGTGAAATGATTACTTACTAGTGTAAACGTCAGCTTTTTCCCCCTAATTTAGTCTTAGCCCTGCCCCGGTGTCAAATGTCCTTGTTTCTATCATTCCAGTGTTTTAGTCCAATTCTAGTTGAAAGTATTGGCATATCTTAGCAAGTGTTACCCTAGTCAAAGAAACAACTTTCTTGTTATTTAGACTGTTGAAATAGTTTAGACATTAGTTTATACTCAACATTTTATACAATACAGTCTTCAGAAAAGGTTTTGTTTACCTTCATTTGAGTAAGTTACCACCATTTCCGGTAATTGTGTTTATTGTTAGCTGTTGCTGTAATCTAGTTTCAGTGGGGCAAAAAAGTATTTAGTCAGCCACCAATTGTGCAAGTTCTCCCATCTAAAAAGATGAGAGGCCTGTAATTTTCATCCTAGGTATACCTCAACTATGAGAGACAAAATGAGAAAAGGAAATCACATTGTAGGATTTTTAATGAATTAATTGGTAAATTCCTCGGTAAAATAAGTATTTGGTCACCTACAAACAAACAAGATTTCTGACTCTCACGGACCTGTAACTAGTTCTTTAAGAGCCTCCTCTGTCCTCCACTTGTTAACTGTATTAATGGCACCTGTTTGAACTCGTTATCAGTATAAAAGACACCTGTCCACAACCTCAAACAGTCACACTCCAAACTCCACTATGGCCAAGACCAAAGAGCTGTCAAAGGACACCAGAAACAAAATTGTAGACCTGCACCAGGCTGGGAAGACTATATCTGCAATAGGTAAGCAACTTGGTGTGAAGAAATCAACTGTGGGAGCAATTATTAGAAAATGGAAGACATACAAGACCACTGATAATCTCCCTCGATCTGGGGCTCCACGCAAGATCTCACCCCGTGGGGTCAAGATGATCACAAGAACGGTGAG